TTTTCAGAATGACATTGACATAGTTAAGTACTCCTGTTCTGCAATACACAGTCATATATATTTAAAAAAAAACATTAAACTGCCCTGAAATAAAAATCTGCAGTTTTTAATAATAGCAAAAGCATATGAACACAAACTTCTTGTTTTTTGTGTGCCATATTTTCATAAAGACTTCTGGGCAAAATGGATTCATCTTCACCAGCAAAATTTGCCAGGCAAATTGAGGGGCTCCACTGAGGTCCTTAGAAAACATGACCTTATCAAGTCATGTAAGGATTGGTAAGAGCAATATGTGCCTTGGTTTCCCGTTTGGCCTTGAACATCACTAGCTTGACATTTCTCCTTGATGCTTAATGATTACCTGTTGCTCACTGTTTTAAGTTATGTTAAACTGGGGGGAAAGATTCTGGAGAGACAGATAAATTTTCTTAAGGAATGTAAAAATAAATTAATAGGAACCAAAGCGCCCCCACAGATTTGGTTTTTGTTTTTCCATAACTATAACACTCATTAGGGAAACCTTCTCCTGCTAACAAGTTAGTGTGTGTTTCCCCCCCCCCCCCCCTTGGTTCTAAAGTCCCAAAGCTGATTGATATAAGTTTGAGTTGCATTTCTTGAAACGAATCAGAGGCTCCTGGGAATGTAGAATGGGAAAAGAGAATGGGTTTCCAAGCATATGAATACAACAGATGCATTATGTGCTGTTTTTAATAAGGGTGCTGAAGAAGCACAAATGGGCAGTTTACACAAGAGCTCCACTTCAATATTTGTATAACTTTTGCCTCCTACTGCCTTACAGTATAAGAGCTTTTTTGTCTCATGTGAATCCATTCCAAACCACTCAGGGTTTCTACTGAAGCTCTGACGAGATTCCCTCGTGGCTAAAACTGAAAATCCACTATTGTAATTGAATTCATCAGCATGATGGTGCTTTATGGGTTTAAGAAATGAATTCAATTTATGCACAATAGTCAAAAGTGCACTGAGGATTCAATGTATGTGCCCATTGTAAATTCAGGTGAGCTGTTGAAATTCCTTCCCTGGCTTTTGAGGCTGGTTTTTGACATCTCCATATGTTTGAATATAACTTAATAAGAGTCCGAGTGCCTTGCATACAGGTATTTCTGGAGTCCTGTAGTTTCTCTTAATCCCAGAGTTACAAGTCTCTTACAGGAGGAAAATCCTTCTATAAAGAAAAGCTATTTAAGTGACTGTTTGTTGTTAGGAATACTCAGCTGTTGGTGTAGCCAAGAAACAAAGGCCTATAATTTCATTTCATACTGTGGATTGCCAACATTTGGTGGCACTTTTGCCCCTTCGTTGGGGGTGGGGGGGGGAAGAGAAAGAGAGACAGGCTTCCTGATCTGTATATTGTCTGCTTTTGTGTATGAAAAGCCCACAGAAAGGGGCTTGGAATAATAATTTAAAACAAAGGGGGTGGGGGAGAAATAATACCACCAGTGAGCTGTATTGTACCACATTGGGTGGGAGCAAGCAGATCAGGAAGGAAGAGAGTGTGTATAAGCTAGGGCTGACCTTTGCTGGAATAGCATCTTGTAATTTTCAATAAGTCATTATGGGGAGAAGGATATGGCCTTATGGCTAAAGCAGAAGACTAGGATTCAGGAAATATGGTCCTGGCTCTGCCACAGACTTCCAGAATAACCTTGTGCAATTTACTTAAACACATTTTGGGCCTCAGTTCCACTCTCTACTTCTCTGCCTCACAGGGGTGTATTGAGATGTACTATATTATTTGTTGCAAGGTGCTTCAAGTTTCTCAGAAAAAGATGATACATGTAAGTGCAAAGTACTACCATCATTCAGCAGGCACATGGTAGTCACTGGGCACTAGGAGAATAGGGAGATTCATGGTTTGAACAGTACAATGGGAAGATAATTTTCTCAATAAAATTTTGGTTAGATAGGAGAAGGGCAAGGTGGGAATCGGAGTCCAGACGAGGAGGTTGCAGTAATCAAGGCAGAGAGAGGAAATGACAGATTATAAACATTTTCTCAAGTGTGTCAGTAAGTATACACTTGTTACCACATACTCAATGCCAGCTCTCATTAGAAACAGGATCGAGTCTAGGACTGCCCTCCTGAGGTTTCCAATTTCAAAGTTTGGGGCAAGTTTATCTCACTAGTACCTTTTCTGTTCATCTCGATCTTTTCATATGGTCTTGTCACTTTGTATTAGCGCTGCCTTTCTCTGCAACTCCTGGCATCTGAAATAGTCCTCCTACCGCCTCAGTATTATATCTCTCATTAAATGCCAGATGGAAAGACACATTTTCTTCCTTGCCTTTGCTCTTAATCTCTCCCCTTCTGCTAAGATATTTGTAGCCACAATGGAGAGATTTCCACATATTTTGGATGGAAAACATTCCGAATGAATTTGGGGTTTTATTGGCTATAAAGATTTATTGTTCTTCAGAATCAACATCGACTTCAGCTTTGCCTTAGTCAGTATGTACCTCTCAGGACAATTAATCTTGGTCTTCACCTCAGAGTACAATATGTGCTTATTATTTAAGCCTGTAATTGTATTAATTCCAAGCATATACTGTGGGATGCAGTTTGCATGAAATACATTCCCAGGGGTACCGTGTTTGGAATCAAGTTAATTACATTTTAGATCTATGCTAGAATTGAAAAAAAAAATTAAAAAAAAAGTTATTCTCAAGGCCTGAATTGATATCATTATCGATTTTGTTAAAATGTTTTTTTCCATTAGAGAAGTGAAAATTATTAAGTTAGACAAAAGAATAGGGCAAGGTTGCTCCACTAGCCTGGAATGTCAAGGCAGTGCTGTGCACAAGGATTTGAATTAACATCACAGATGGGAGATGGCTACAACTAAGAGTTCTGTGTGCTTTAATAGTCTGCAGTTAGTTGCATCATCTGGTGTTTCAGAAAATGCTCTTAAAAAACTTATCAAATGGCTGATGAATGTGTTTGTAAAGGCTTGGATGGTCACTTTATATGGAACAATAAATTTGCTGTTGTACATAATGAGGTCAGTGAAGCAACCAGAAAGGAAATATATAATTCTCTAGCATGGGTCTGTAAGCACAGTACTGTCTAGGCTATTTAAGTTTAATGAAGCAGCTACTCTGCTGCTGCATATTCTTGTTGAACAGTCTCAGCATGTATATTAAAACAAAAGTGTTACTGGTAATCATGTCCCTGCACACTCTCCTTGGAAATCCTGTGGGTCCTATTCTCATAAGAAGTCTTCATCTTTTATGTGCTAATGGTTTTGAAATTAGTCATTTGCTTCATTTTCATTGTAAATGAGGGTCAGAATGTGATTTCTTTCTTTTCCCTGTTCTCTGAACATTGAAACTACTGTAAGCTGGCTCATCAGCATCCACTTCTCTCTGGGGTATAGAGTTTGAAAAGTAGCTGAAAATGATCCCATTAAAACACACAGGTTCCCAGGCATTCTTTCCTATTCTTAGAAACCTGTCCAAGAAGGCCTGCATCCATTCTGAAGCTTGCATTGTACAAATGACATGGCATCACCATCACATCCTCGCATCTCCCAAAGTCTTACTGCCAAAGAGGTCCAGTCAGGAAACTTCAAAAATTCAACAGTGACATTCCAGTGTCTGTTCAAATCCAACGAGATCCAGTTACATTAATTAATTCTTTAAACACACCTTTCTAAAGGGCTCTTAAAAGAAGTAATGATTAATATTTAAATGCACGGTTTGATTCCTAGCATGCAATACTATACAAATGATGATGGCTGAAACATGAATTAAGTTTTGGGTTTTTTAAATGGACTAAATGTTGTGCACAGACAGAAACACTTAGGCACAATATAGGTCTGGCTCCAATTTGCACAAAGAATAATAATCATTCATAGCACTTAAAGTGGTATTTTACATCCATGGATCTCAAGGCATATTACAAAGGAAGATGGGGATCATTCACATTTTATAGATGGAGAAACTAAGGTCTAGAGAAGTTAAGCCCAGAGCCTCAAGAGGTATTTAGGCACCTAACTCCCAAAAAGGATCAGGGCCCAAGTTTCCAGGCACAGTGCTCCACATGCTATACATTGACTCACACTGCCTTGCCTTAAAAATCATACCTGGACATAATGACCATCATTATGTGAAACTGCAAAGAATGTGTGTCCAAAGGCTCTGTCTTCTTCCCTTATTGCTAGTGTAACCTTTGCTTTGCAATTACCACTATCCAGGACAGCATATAAAATATATTCTAAGTGATGGGAAAATGAGCCAAACGTATGAGAGAGCCATATGCATGCTATGATTTTTACCTCTCCTTGTGGCATGAATTATTACGGCATGCAGACTATCATTAAGTGGGTTTGTGTTACAAATGCTTGGTATTTGTTGTTTCTTTATTCTGCTGTGTTGGTGAAGTAATGCGCTTAGCAATAATGGATTATTTTCACAGAGGGATTTCACATAGTAGATTATCAACTACTTTCTCTTTCAAGATGTAACCTTGTCAGTTTGTGGTCAGAGGCAAGTGTCAAGTTAAAATGAACCTAATACATTCATTTGCAACACAGGCAAAAGAGACAGACAGACAAAAGGTTCCAATCTTTTCATTTATCACCACCATCACTTTAAAAATCAACAGAGAAAAACAAAGGAAACCCTGTACGTGCAGCTGATTCCTAGATATGCACATTGCACAAGTTATTTTTCAACTATAAGTAATATTTTAAGCTTTCTTTCAATACCAGGAGGTAGATAGGTTTTGGGTTATTTTTTTCTTAAAAAAAAAAAAAAATCTCTCATTTCATAGAGATCAATACGACAGTTACACACACAGATGTGCCTGCTGCATTGTTATTAAATGCCACTGGTTCGTGTGTGTGTGTGTAAAATTTGTAAGAAGATAAGGTGCTACTCCAACCCTATTTCATTTTAACTAATGGGATGTTGGTTGCCTGTAATTTTGCATTCACTGTTAACAGCCCTGCTTTAATAAATTGTTTTCTGATCTGTTCCTAGATGGAAATCCTGTATGAATGTGAAAACCATTAGCAAAGTAATTGCTGTCTATTACCATGACAACCAGCCGCTGCAGTCACCTGCCTGAAGTCTTACCAGACTGCACCAGCTCAGCTGCTCCCCTAGTAAAGACGGTGGAGGATTGTAGCAGTCTTGTGAATGGACAGCCGCAGTATGTCATGCAAGTTTCAGCCAAGGACGGGCAGCTTCTGTCAACAGTAGTAAGGACTCTTGCCACACAGAGGTACAGTAGTACCAAATAAAAAACAAACAAACATGTAATTGATCATTAAATTGTTTTAGCTCGGAAGTGTAGAAAGGGGCTAGAATTACAGTATTCAAGTCTGTGTCAGACAAGAAATCTATATAAAAAAGCCAAACACACATACAGGCTCAGTCATACCTGTTTCTATGACAATTAAGTAAGCAGCTAAAATCCATCATGTTTACTTTTCTATTTTAAGTCACACACAGAAGAAGAAGAAGATAGATGTGTTGCTGCTCGTGTAAGATTTACTACTGTGATAATTAAACTCATCGCTATAATTTTATCATCATCACCATCTCGCCTTTTATAATTAAACTCTCATTATACCTTCATGCAAAAAAATGTGGCAGTGCTGTCTGAAGATGCAAATGGTCAAGTGAATAAGTTTCAATAATTTCTCCTGATTTGTAAAAAGAAACTTCAGAATGTTACTCCTGACAACTTGTGAATGCTACTCATTACTTACTGAGGAGAACACTCATTCCAATGATGCTTCATACATGGGTTTCATCTCAAACACGCACTGTCACTATTAAGGTACAGAATATTGCATACAGCATTCCTCTCCTTCCCTCCTCACGTGCTGTTGCTAATACTGTCATAACACATTTTGTTCAGACTGCCATTCCTAAACGATGTCACACGCTCTAACTCACTGAGCCGGCAAAGAATCTGTCTCTCATGAAGATTCACATGCAGGCTTTGTTGCCGGAGCCATTTCTCATGTGATTGATAGCAGCTTTTCATGCTGTTGATGCACACTGACAGATTATGTGGCAAAATATATATTTAAGTCATATACTTTGAGACCACAAGCTGGGTGGGGTTTTTTTTGTTCTCTTAACACTTTATTAAGAGAATCCATAAGGGTTTGACAGTATTCACACAGGAGATTTTGGGCATTTCCCTGATACTTTAGAGTAGTTCTGGATTTACATCAGTGTAACAGAGCACAGAATCAAGTCCCCTGCATTGTTTAAAGGCAGATGTTATTAACTTGCTGGGGTGTCATGTAAAAATGTGGGGGGTTTTTGGAGTGAAACAATTATTCCTTTCAGTTTTTTATCAAACTGAACTTACTAGCTCAGATCTGCATGTAATGTCATAACAAACACCACTGGGTTTTGTTTTTTTTAATAAACAGTGGGCCAGATTGTCCTTTCGCCTAGGCCACCTTTACACGTCACTGGATTTTACACTCGTGTAGTGAAAGGAGAACCTGGCCCCATATACACAGGGCACCATTGAAAAGCAGCTGAGCAGGGGTAGTGGGCAGCAGTAACACATTGCACAATAATGAGGAGGGGAAATTTGTGTCAGTGACAAAGAGACAAAGGCACTATTCTTATAAGAAAGCCCTGTGAACCCAAAGCATCGATACAGAGTTGGCATTTTCAAGGTCTCAGCCAAAAGATCCACACACATGAAAATGCAACTTATTCAATTTATCTGCCTTGGCCGGATGAACGGCTATGTTAATCCTGCTGGGATTTTAAATTGTGGGTCCAGGGAGTCCAAGCATTTCAAGGCTGATACTTAATCTACCCCTCTAGCATGTTACAGTTCTAGCATTTCAGGGATTTATTCCGCTCTTATTTATTTTTCATGCGTGTTACTGATAGTTACATGTGTCTGTAGAAGGAAGAACTGAGTCCTTAAGGCTTTTGTAAAGGAGAGGTGCTCTTCCCCTCCCCCATCTGTGCCCCATCAAAAGTGATCCTTCTTTTGGCTGAGAAGAATCACACTGTTCCTTTCAGAACCCAGTAATGGTGCTCCTTAGCTGGCCATAAGGAATTGCTCCAGATGTGTGGTGCTGCCTTCACCAGACCAGAGCATCCTGGATCTCTTTAGTGTCCAGTCACACTTGGCTTGGAGACTCTGCTCGTATACCTGGCAGTGCATGGTGCTGCCCGGAGGTCAGTTTGTGTCACAGGGTTATTGTTTCAGGCTAAATTAGAGAGAGAGAGAGAGTGTGTGTGTGTGTGTGCGCACGCATCTTATCCTGTAGTTCAGTGGCACAGATCATGACTAAGGCTATGATTTTGTCATGGAGGTCGCGGACTTCCACGACTTCCAAAGACCTCAGTGACTTCATCCCTGGCAGCTGGGAGCTGCAGGGTCCAGCTGCCTCCTGCAGCTACAGGGAGCTGTAAGATACCCTCGCTGCCTGAGGCAGAGGGCCCCCAAGCTCCCCCGCCGTGGGAGGGCTGGGGGATTCCCACAGTGCTCCCTGCCGCTGGGGAGGAGGGTAGGGGGACCCTGCAGATCCCCTCTGCCACTTGTGGCAGGGACACCCTCGAGCTCTGAGCCCCCGTGGGTGGTGGGGGCCCCAGAACTCCCAGCCACGCTTCAGCTGTCCAGTCCCTTCCTATAGTATCCTGGATATTTTTAGTAAAAGTCAGGGACAGGTCAGGGGCTTCTGTGAATTTTTCTGTATTGCCCATAACCTGTCCGTGACTTTTACTAAAAATATCCATGATAAAAATCTTAGCATTAATCATGACTAGTGTCCCTGTAACGGGCATCCACTTTGGGATAGAGTTAAAATATACTCTGCTGCATTTAGAGATTTCTCCTGTAGTGCACCCCCCCACCCCAAAGTGTTTCCTGGTGTATTTCTTTCCCTACATTGTGGGAAATGATAAATTTGTCAGTGTAAGTAAATTTTCTGTATATTCCCTTCTCCAACTGTTAAGGACTTCCTTCCAGCTTGTCACTGTATAGACCAGAACTAGAGCACTTTTGAACAAGAATATCAAAGGTGCCATCAATCTTTAGCCTGGGGATCATGCTGTATGCTAATGTATAAATAAATACACGCTGTGAACATCCCATCTTGTTATGTTGGAACATGGGCTAAGTGAGAGAAATTAGGTGCTTTACAACCTAATATACTGACCAGCAACTTCCCTTTCTTGTTTGGCAGCCCTTTCAATGACAGGCCAATGTGCAGGATCTGCCACGAAGGCAGCAGTCAGGAAGACCTGCTCTCTCCATGTGAATGTACAGGAACCCTGGGGACTATTCATCGCAGCTGCCTGGAGCATTGGCTGTCCTCTTCGAATACCAGTTACTGTGAACTCTGCCACTTCAGGTTTGCAGTAGAGCGCAAACCCAGGCCGTTAGTAGAGGTCAGTAAATGAGCCATGTCCTCAAAAGCTTAGTTTTAATGAGCAAGCGATGTATGTTTTACACCAGGACCACAAAGCCTTTGCAGCTTCACTGAAGCAAAAGAAAGGCTGTGAATTTTGGGCATTGGGAGGTGAGGGCAGCAGCAGTGCAGGAATAACAAAACCTTCATTTTGAAGCAATCAGCTTGAGTGAGAAGAATGAAATTGATGGTTTTGCTTCACTGTAAACATCTAAACGAACATCATCTTGTGAACAGTCTGCCTCAAGTAGAAAATGCAGAGTATATCATTTTGGCTAGGCTGGTAGAGAGCCATCTAGAAAACAACGGACAAAAATCTATGGAATACTAGACAAACGTTACTTGGGATAATGAATATAGGTCAGGAATTAATTAACGCACCTCTCCTCCCTCCCCCCCACAAATCTGGCTTCTGTTTTAAGCCCCTAGAAAGGAATTGTTCTTGTTGGAGGTTTTACATTTTAGCACTTCTCAGATGACCCTTTTGCTTCTTCTTGCCTGTGCACCAGACTACAGAGTAATATTCGGCAATCGTTTCCCCTTTGTCAGTTAAAATGTGGCTATTGCCTACTGCAGTTGCTTTAATTAACATACAAAATTGCCTGGTCTCGTTGTGCTAAAAAGCAGTCAAGATATGGGTTTGTCTTGACTGATAAACTTGCTTCTCCCTTATTTTGACTTCTAAAATACTGTGAAATTTGAATCCCTTTTGTAATTAAAACTGAATTGCTTCAAAATGAAGGTTTTGTTATTCTTGCACTTCTGCCCCCACCTCCCAACACCCAAAATTCACAGCCTTTCTTTTGCTTGAATGAAGCTGCAAAGCCTTTGAGTTCTTTATGAGAATAGTGAAAAACATCTTATTTCATGTTGGTTGGGGACACAGAGATTCAATCAAGTGCTGTACGTGCTTCATGTGTGGCTGATTTTGGATTGGTACTGTATGTTTACATGGAAAAATTGACAATATAAACGGAAACAAATTCTTGTTTTCATCTAATTCATAAGCAGCAGGAGGTAGATTCTGCATCCACCAATCCCATCATTTATCTGTTGGAAAAAACTACATTGGCCCAATTGGGTGGGAGTGGGAGATCTTCTCCAGGGACTACCAATGATGCTTTGTGTTGGACCAGTTTTAAACATGAGGACACTTTAGTCTTTCTTGGGTTCAGCAAAGCAAAGATCTTCTGCTAGGTTGTACATGTTCAGTATTGAATACTAGGAGCTATAGTTTTGTCAAGTCATAATGGGAAGGGGAGGAAATCCTTTTCTCTGGCCCAATCCTATCCCCTGTTTTCCAGTGGCTTGTCTGAGCAACTGAACAAGACTCAAGCCTCACAGTTTGAGAAATGCTGATTTTGGATGTTCCCAGGCTAACAATGACTAAACAGCAAAATCATCATAATTGGGCTATACTCAATAAAGGTGACATTTTCTTATCAACCCACTCTAATCCTGAATCAAGCAAGGTGCAACAAAATAGATCTGTTTGTGGTTTGAGGTCCCTACCATTGTGAATTTGCCTCCTAAGGAACAAGATGAATGACCTTGAGACCGTGTGAAATAAACAGCTAGATTTTAGGGTCCAGCCTGTTTCAACTTTGTCCTCACAATGACTGCTCATGAAATTTTCTTTGTACAAATGGAGTGTGACATTTTTCAGAGTTAATGATGATGGCACAACTTGAGAGTGAAATCTAACTCTTTCAGAGCTGGAGGAGGCTAGCTGTTTGATCCTCCATGCTGAAGTGACCTCTCTCTCGCTAACAAAAAGTAACTTTTTTTAAAAATTGTCTTTGGTTTCTCAGTTAAAAGAGAACTAAGAACCAGATCCAAGCACATTTCAAAACAGTACACATTGCTAGTTACCATTTTACTTTTTACTATGCAATGTTTACTTGATTCTTAACTACCACCTCCCCAAAGTTTTTAATAGGGTGATAAACAGTGACATGAAGGAAAGAGCATAATGAATGCACCATTTTAAAAAATAGTTTAAATCCTCATTTAAGCTCAAACCACTTTTTTGGTGTAAGATCCAATGAATTAAAATTGGAAGGAACAAAGTAATAAAAAGGGAAAATATTATCTGGATTTTGAGCAAAAGGACAAATCCAAATAGAAAATATCACAAGTTACCTTTATTTCTATTAATATCTTTATCATGAGTATAATCTAAACTTAAAAGTTTAATATATTGCTTCTTGAAAACAGTGCACATACCTAGTCTAACCTAATGATTTTTCCATAAAGAAAAACTGAATCTTCTTCCCACTAGAAGAAATGTTAAACCATTTTCTTAGAAAGAAGCTAAGAAAAGGGCCTGGATTATATCCTCCTTATTCATCCCTCTTCCAATTTGAGCACTGCCTGTTATACTGCTTAACCATGGAAGGAAAATGGTTTAAACAAAAACAAACAGCTATTTAGCTTGCCTGAGCTGAAAGTTTCACACACTTGAAGACCACTCAAGCTCTCAACACCCTAGAGAAGTTGGGTGGTGGTAGGTTTAAAGTGAACTGAGCAACAAGAGGTTTGGCTGCTCATTCCACCATATTACTCCCCTGTGCACTTTATTATTATAGCACCAGAAGATTCCTCTGCATTTGTAATGATGTGATCAGAACAGGCTATTGGATTCACTATATTTTTTCAGTATTGTTAGTAATTTTTTTCTTTAAAAAAAAAAAAAAAAAAAAAAAAGAAAGAAACCAAATATTCCCTCGTGTGTCAGACGATTGATTGGCTTCACCTTGAAAAACATTTCTTCTCACAGTGAAAAGTAAGAGCCATGCTACACCTGATACCAGACACTGTCAAATTTAAGATGCTGAAACTCTAGTATTACTCTGGACATGGAAGAAATCCATTATGTGATAGTTGATGTGTGTGGAGCTGATGTACTTTGTGACTAGGGTGACCAGGGTGACCAGATGGGATGAAGAAAATATCGGGACACATGGTGGGGGAGGGAGGGGGTCCTGCCGGCAGAGAAAAAAAAAAAAAGCAGAGCAAGGGGGAAAAAAAAAAAGCAGAGTCCCGCCGGCGGAACAAAACAACACAAAACAAAACCAGGAGTGTGAAATATCGGGACAAATTGCATCCCAACCAAACATCGGTCGGGACGCAGGACAAACGCCTAAAAATCGGGACAGTCACGATTTTATCGGGACGTCTGGTCACCCTATTTGTGACCAACTGGAGGGATCCCAAACAAATGCATCATCTAATGCAGGGGTGGGCAAACTACGGCCCGTGGGCCGGCCCCTCAGAGCTTTGGATCCGGCCCGCGGGATGGCCCCCCGTGGCGCCACGGGCCCCACGCCGCTCTCAGCAGTGGCCGGCCCAACGTCCCTGCGGCCTCCGGACCCTTGCCTCCAGGCACCGCCCCCCGCAGCTCCCATTGGTCGGGAATGGGGAACCACGGCCAATGGGAGCTTCAGGGGAGCTACCTGGAGGTGCGGCAAGGGCAGCACACGTGGAGCCCTCCCCCAGGGGCCGCAGCACTTCCTGGAGCGGCGCGGGGCCGGGGACAGGGCAGGCATGCAGGGAGCCTGCCCTGGCCCTGGTGCATGCCGCTGCCACCCCAGAGCCCGAACCCTTCCTGCACCCCGCCCCCCAACTCCCTGCCCTAAGCCCCCTGCCTGCACCGTGCACCCCTCCTGCACCCCAACTCCCTGCCCTAAGCCCCCAGCCTGCACCGTGCACCCCAACCTCCTGCCCTGAGCCCCCTGCTGCACCCTGCACCCCAACCCCCTGCCCTGAGCCCCCTCCTGCAGTCTGCACCCCTCCCCTGAGCCCCTTCCTCCACTCTGCACCCCAACCCCCTGCCCCAGCCCTGCGTACAATTTCTCCGCCCAGATGTGGCCCTCACCCCAAAAAGTTTGCCCACCCCTGATCTAATGGAACAAAAGTAAAAGTAAATTTACTTTGGGTGCGATCCTCAAAGATCCTTAGGTGCCAGAGTCCTGCTTGTAGGTACCACTGTGATCTGCAGAACTCCTGCTTGGCAGCCGCCTACCCACATAGGTCCCTGAATTCACTTGGTGCCACAGGCGCCGACTTTCCTATGTGCCGGGGGGTACTCGACCCCCGGCTCTGCCCCAGGCCCCACCCCCAATCCACCCCTGCCTCTGGGCGTGTGCACTGTTGCCTTACTCTAAACGCCTGGGTGCTTATCTACAGCGTAAGCTCCAGAGCGATTCACAAACTAGGGAAGGTAGGTGTTTGGCCACCTAAGTCACGTGTGGGAGCCTAATCTGGTTGGCCGCCTCTGAGCAGACCTATTGGATCAGGCCCCTCAGGAGAGTTCACACAAAGCAGCCAGGGCAGAAGACCCTCCCTTATAACCTTTAGCCTAGTGGATTAGGGTACTCACTCAGAATGTGGGAGATCTCTGGTTCAAGTCCCCATTACTCCTAAGGAAGAAAAGGGATTTGAACAGGGATTGGCCACCTCTCAGGTGAATGCGCTAGCCACATGGCTTCCTACCCAGTAGGGGTTTTAACGTATGTGCTGCCTCCCCATTTCCTGCTCTGTGCTTAACTCTCTTAGCTTGTTGAACGGTACATTTAGAAGAGAGCCATAGGGTCAGCTGAAATGTGCAATAAGTTATTAAGAAATAAGATTTGGAAAATGGAAATTCAGAAGAAAAGCTTCACATGATGTTTTGATCTTCCTTTGGGATCAAAAAGGCATGGCAGTATTTTTCATGGTGAGAGAGATTAGATTTCCTCATTTCTTTTTCCTTTAACAGACCCAGCTGCTTGATAAGAATTGTATGAACAATTTAAAAGGAATTTGTTCCCTACAGGCTGTGAAGGTTTTAGCTAAATTGAAACTGGGGCCTGTTTTCACATATTTCAGTTATAAAAATTAGTGAGATATACAGTAAGTCATCTGATGGACAAGTATTTTTAAGGTGCTTTTGTTTTATCATATAGAAAACTTTTTAAAGAGTGCCAAAGACCCAGCATG